AGTAATTCATCATTATTACTTTAAAACGAGTTACAATGGTTGACCTAGACTATTACATCATCATTAATGTTTAGCCCAGAAACACGGGCGTTACACATAGTATTTTATAATCTAGTAGGATGAAATATGAGCAAGCTTTATGATGAGTTTGTTACCAATATTAGAGTATTGGTTCTAGAGTTTTCAAACCAGTAAACCCGTTATAGTAGTTTTGGTTCAGCTTCAAGATGTTATAATACCTAAACTAGGTAGATAAACTACTTGCAATCAAGATTCGTGTGTGTTTTAAAGGAGATGTCATAATCGTTTTTGGAGGCATACCTTGGAAAGTGGATTCCGTTAGGATGTCGTAGATAAATTTTTCCCTAATTAATCACTGATTAACAAATCGAATGTTATAGGAACAAATCGACATTACATGTCTAAAGGTGATCGTTCGTCGTAGATTATAAATTCTAGAAGTCCAGACCAACGAATTCCTCGTTTCGAAAGACTTCGCACGGATTTGGGATTACATATAAGGTAGAAAACGAAGTTCTATGGGGAAAATTGATGCGGAAATATCAGACAAATCACGAGTTGATCTCGATAACACCAATAAGATGACGTCTAGGTGCTCTAGGAGTAGGATTTCGGGGATGAAATCTTTGTATGTGAGGGAGAGTTGTAACACCCTATTTTCAATCTTCAATAGGATTTAATATAAATCGTTGGTTTATAAAATTAGAAGTAGAAATATATTTACTTTTTAGCCAAATTAATCATCATAAACATGTAGAAAACGTCAATACGATTTTCGTAGATATATAGAATTCCTGAATCTGACTTCGTATGAAGAAGTTACAATTCTTCGAAGTTTTGCGTTTAGCCCTATATAGCTAAGCGCGTCGTAGAATACGAATCGGAGATAGATTGCCTATTAGCCAAAGTAATATAAACGAAAGTCGGTGTACTCGTAAAAGCGAAAGTGTGTATATAGAGAACGTCCAAATTTGACTTCATTTTAGGAAGTTATGATTTTTCAAAGTTTCAGCGCAACAATGTGGGCACAGAAATCGAAATTCAAATCAGTGGCTTGTTAGCCAAAATAATCTAAACGATAGTTGAAGATCTCGTTAATATGAACCCGTCGATATAGAAGGAGGCGATGTGGACCAACAGCGAGGCGACACGTGGTGAAATCTGAGAGGGGTCAGCACCATCAATAGCCGTGGCACGCCCTTTAGAAGGCGCATCGCACCCCACCTAATTTTATTGAGCTCAATTTCAGCCATTTCTTCTCACCACTTTCTCCATCAAACACTCCCCTCCTGTTTGTTCCGACCTTTCTGGACTTCTAGGTCTTTTTAATGGGGCTCTGGAGTATCTAGGAGCCCAACAAATAGGAGCTTTCAGATCGGAGTTCTGACCGTTCAATTTCCCGGTTTTCGCTAGAAACTCTGTAAGTTAAGCTATGCTCACTAGGTTTTTAATTAAGTTTATAACTGTTATTAGGAACCTATAAATACCAGATTAGTCATTAATTCCAGTTAAATATTTTGATTGGTCTACTTATGAGAGAGGTGTCTAGAATAGTCACGTTGGTTTGGTTGTTGGATTTCAGAAAAGCTATATGTTGAAATGGTCCTATCTCCCAACTGTCCTGCCTGACTAATCCTTATTTGATAGCCATGAAAGTATATTTGGAATGAGTGAATGATCTATCTTTTACCAGATTAACATAGATATTAATAAGTTATAGTATTATAGGTTAATACTTAATAGACGCGTTACCCGCCAGTTGGATCGGCAGAAGGATAGTTGTTAAACGTTTGAATAATTGTCTAGGTGAATTATCTCATTGTACTATGTATTACAATATATATATATATATATATATATATATATATATATATATATATATATATATATATATATATATCCATGTATGTTAGGACTTAAGAGCTAGTAGATTTGAATGTGTAGTATTCATGTGTGTAAATGTTGTTGTATTTAAGTTGTTCAGTATAGCTAAGTAGGGGTTGTCGGGAGCTTATAGACCCAGGTGTTGACCATGAAATGGCAAGTAGGCCGTAAGTCTAGATACACATATTATTGGTGGATCGGCGAAACGTTGTGAGCCAATTGGTGGATCGGAAAAAGGTCCTAAGTCATTGCTTGTATGCATGTGCATGTATTGTGATATATGGTATCTTGGGGAACTTACTAAGCTTCGTGCTTACCCAGTTGAATAAAAATGTTTTTCAGGAAACTCTTCAGATCGCAAAAAGGGCAAAGCTCGAGTGTACACACGCGCATTCACATCATGTTTTTTGCATATTGTAATTATACTCTGATATATTTGAAATAATAAAAATGCAAAATTTTTGGTTGAAAGTGTGATGTTACAGGGATGATTGGTGGAATTAAGCCCACCACAATCCATCTGTATATACCAAATAACAATGCATAAATAACCAAAAATACCTCGAAAATATAGTCGTTACAAAGGTAAATGGCAATTAACCGATTTACTCGTTTACTTCTTTTACCTCTCTAAGCTCTTGGTTATTACACTTTCTTGATAAGGAAAAAAGTTAACATTATATATAAGCGTATAATCTACAAATTCCACCTATACTACAACTTCCTTTCTATATTGTAATCATTACACTCTTTACTCCTCATAATTTATCATGGATACAAGAATCCTAATTCATTACCCCTACAAGTTACATACCTTTAAGTCATAAAAAAACTAAACAGTAAAAGACATAAAACCTAGTAAATTTTATAACATTCAATCTAAGTATTTTGATATCATTCTCTTACTCACATCCTCAGGTCAATCCCTTAAGGTCAACACCACATCATTATAATCTCCCAAGTTCGAATTTCCATCCAACATTATTGGTGGAAGGAATTAATCGCATGTAGAATGACATATTTGATGAGATGGTTTCAAGATTACAAGCAACTCAAAATATGAATAAGATGAGTATATGGATGCATGAAAACAAAGTGTGAAGAAAAGTAGACTAGATCATGAAAAGTAGTCTTGTGGTTCTATACATCCCATAACATTTTTGGACGTTAAGATGCCCAACAAGTGAGAAATTTACATTGCTAGCCGTCCTTGTTGTCCCTTCAGCCGTCCTACTCTATTTTGGGGCATTTACAAGAAAAAAATCACACAATTATGCCACTAGTCATCCCAAGGTGAAAGTTGGACGGTTTCTTAATGGTTTGAGATGTTTTTTAAGTCAAAATGGTGAACTAAAGCATGCCTAAACACACCAAGTTAACCTACATAAACACACCAAGTTAACCCTACATTTTGACAAACTTTTCAAGTTGAGGTTGGAATTTGAGAAAGATTAATAACAGCTTTCAATAAGTACACTACTACAAGAACAACCAGACTACCTTCACCTTCTATTCTTAACGATGTTGGTGCTAGTAGATTGATGATGTCCGCTTTGTAGAGAATTTGTGGTTGTGCTCGAGTTTGGTTAACTTGTCATGGGGCATGGTAGGTCTGACAATCGTGTCGTGTTCGGGTTGGCGTGTCGCGGGTTGGCGGGTTGGCGGGTCAAAATATGTCAACCCAAACACGACCCATTTAAATATACAGGTCAAGGGTTGGCGGGTCACGAGTTGGCGGGTTTGGAACATAAACCCATATATGACCCACCAACCCATTTATTTATACGGGTTCACAAGTTGGCGGGTTCGTGGGTCAGATTTGGGTTCGTAGGTCCAAATTTTAGATATTTAAGTCTTAAACATCCAAATAAAAATTACAAACATTCATAGAAACATGTTACAGACTTAGTCTTATAGGTTACGACTTATGACCTTAGACCATCCACCACGAGTAATAATGTCAAAACAATCAAATGGTCTATGAATAAATGGTATATATTATATAATACTTATTAAATATTAAAATTTGATACATAAATACATTTAAAAATATAATAATTTTTTTATTAAGAATATAAATGGGTTGGCGGGTCAACCCGTTTATTTTTTGAAAAACCCATATATGACCCGTTTAATAAACAGGTTGGCGGGTTGGCGGGTTAGCGGGTTGGCGGGTTGAAAAACTCAACCCAAACCCATTTATTTCGTGTCGTGTCACGGGTCGTGTCGCGTGTCGTGTCGAGAATTGCCAGCCCTAGGGCATGATGAGTTTGTGTTGCACACTTGGCACATCTTGTTACTTCCCAAATAATTATTGAAAATTATGGATATATTTACAAGAAGGGTATTGGTGAAATGTTCCTCCAAATACACATGTATGTTCTTGTATTCTTGAAAGATTTCTTTAAGCCTTTTCTCATCGGCTAAAATGTCTTCTTAAATCTAAGCACTTTTCATTTACTCAACATAACTTAGGAATTATGTATTTTATTAAGGGGGAATCTATTATGTCATGTCCTAGGTGATAACGTATCTTAATCTGCAAAATTCGGCCAATATATCATAATAGATAAACATCACCACAAGTCATGTCTTTGATATAACAATATAATACATGATGCATCGATTTCAAACCACCAACCTTGCAAAAGACGTACGTGTATATATCATCAATAATTTGTCATATTCACAATATATCGACAAACAAGGAAATCTTGAACTTAACGCATAATTTAAATTTATAACGAGAAAGATAGGCACCAACTATATCCGAATAGGATTAGTTGTTCTACCTGAATTAATTTTGTCGACTTTATTCTATTCCCATTAGTTGACTTTATCGTAAGCCTTCATCTTTTTTTATTCTAATTTAATTGACTCATGTGGGTTGGATTTCTTGTTTCCTAGAACTTTACTAATTTTGATTAAACCAAGGTTGACCAAGTCAAAGTACTCATCATCCACGGCATATCCAATTGCGTCAAACACGGATCTTATGAAATTACATGATAAAAACCGAACACTACACGTTTTTCAGTTTTTTAGAAATGAATTTTGACCAAATATTAAAAAAACAAATACTTAATCTAAAGGAAATTTGGTATAAAAAAACATGTATGTAAGCCCCTATGTACAAAGGATGTATATCAGCTGGTAAATCCATTTTCCGCAACCAAAACGATCAAATCCAGATGAATCATGTATCATGTATCGACCAATATGTCAAAAACCATATATTGTTTTGGATTAGATTATTCTAGTTTCGGAAATAAGATTTACCACGATCTAAAGTCATTCTGTCTACCAAATCTAGGTCCGAGTTTCAACATGGAACCTAGTACTTTCTGCTACATGGGTCGATACAGCTTCGAGCCCATGTAGCATCTTGATGACATCTACTGTGTCATCAAGATAATATTTTGCCATACTGGGCTTTTGACCCACTGTGCAAGCAAATACTTCCGCAATCCCATTCGCAACCGAACTCCCAATTTTCTCAAACATGTCCTCGTCTGATTGGTCATCACCGATGCACAACACAAAGTCGAGTGGTCTCCCGTTATTTTTCATTGTTGTCACGAGGCGATCTAACACCACTCCCTTGCTTACACCCTGTAAAAATCGATTATAAACAAAAGTAAGATTTTGTAATAAAGAAATAAATAAATGAAAATACATTGTTGTTTCTATTTTCTTTTTACCTGAGGGTTAACCTCAACGATTTGTTGGCCTCGTTTAACAACTACCGGCTCGTTGGCGAGAACACTTTCTAGATGATCTAGCAACTCTTTAGCTTGCCATGCCCCGAAATCCGGATCCGCTTCTTGATGATGCCAAACTAACGCGCTTTCTTTTTGTTCGATAAAAGCACCGTCGGTTGCCTCAGTGTAATGCTCCATCACCGGTAACGCCACCTTCTTCCACCCCACATCCACCGTTAACTCACAAGATTCCCATTCCGAGTCCCCGCTCCACCTACATAAAATTGAATATCAACACCAAAAAAATTTTAAGCAAAAAAAATGACATAGTACACTGGTCTAGCAGACTGGTTTCCAGTAAACCAGTCTGCCAGACCAGCCTAGTACATTACACATACCTAGTAAGATAACCATGTTCCGCTGATAAACCAAGTTTCTTACACGAATCAAACCATTTGCTTAACGAATCCTTCCCACGACCACTCACAATGAACACAACATTTTTCGGATCACTCGATAGCGCGTTCAAGATCGAAATAACTTCTTTACTCGGCGTTTTATCGATCAAACTTTGCGGCATCAATGTCCCATCATAATCAACCAAAATCAACCGACTATTCGTCTTCTTATACGCCGACACAATATGTTCGACCGATAATTTCCTAAAAGTGGGCCCCAAAGCCACAACCCGAAACTGTAACCCAAACCCAACCCCCCAACACCGTTTGTGAAAATGCTCCTTACAAGCTCGCACAAGATCTTGATCAAAACTACGCGCCCAATACGCAACATCATGAGAACTAACGTATTTAAAATGCTTCTCGTGTCTCATTTCTTTTTCCTTATCCGGCATTTTGATAGCCAAATACATCGCCTCGGTGACCGAATCGATGTCCCACGGGTTGACCCGGATTGCCCCGCTTAAAGATGGTGAACACCCGATGAACTCCGAGACTATGATTACACTCTTTTTAGGTTTAGGGTTTGATTCGGGTTCATTGGGTTCTAACACGCGATCCAAATCCGGATTACTTTGTCTAGAAACCGTGTACTTATACGGGATCAAATTCATCCCATCTCGAACCGCATTGACCACCACACATTCGGCTATTGCAAAGTACGCAACTTTCTCATGGGTCGAACCCGAACCATTGACCAATACGATTGGCTCGAACCCGTCTTTTGTGAACTTGCGGTTAACCTCACGAGCCACGTTTCGCATCTCGGTTTCGACTTCTTGGATGTCTTGACCACGGCTACGAGCCGGGTTCAAGATTTGGATTAGAACCACTGAGCCACGTAAGGTGGGGTAGTCTTCTAAGAGCTTGCCAAATGCTAAGAATTTTAGACTAATCCCTTTGAACATGTCCATATCATCGACACCCACAACCACAATTTTACCGTTGTATTTCTGCTTTAATTCAAGAACTTTCGTGGCAGTTTCTGGTGATGATTTTACCGATTCGATTTCACCCATGTGGATTCCGACTGGTAAAATCTTGATGCTTATTGTTCTACCATAATATTCGAGACCAATGTAGCCTCTTTTTGATTTGTAATCGAGACCCAACATTCTGCTACAACATGAAAGGAAATGGCGAGCGTAATCGAATGTATGGAAACCGATTAAATCACAGTTGAGAAGTGCCCGGAGAATTTCGTCTCGGACGGGTAAAGTCCGGTAAATTTCTGACGATGGAAATGGGCTGTGCAAGAAAAACCCGACCCGGATTCGGTGAAATCGTTTTCTCAAGAAAGTAGGCATCACCATGAGATGATAATCATGGATCCAGACGTAATCCTCATCTGGGTTGATAACTTCCATAACTTTATCTGCAAAAACTTTATTCGCAGATACGTAGGCCCGCCATGCGACCCGATCGAATCGGACCCCTTGGGTTCGGGTCACGGGTAACATGTAATGAAACAAAGGCCATAGGTAATGTTTACAGAATCCATGGTAGAATTTATTCTGGATTTCTAACGATAAAAAAGTGGGAACGCACCGGAATTTTTCCAACAAAATTTGAGCGACTTCTTCTTGCTCCGACGGGTGAACATCGACGGGTAAAGATCCGACATAAACGCATTCGGTATCGGGTTCTAACCCGGATTTGAGTTGAAGCACGAGTGAATCCGGGTTGTATTGAAATACCCATTTGTTGGTTTCCGTTTCGAACCGAGCTTTCACCGGTAACTGATTGGCAACCACGATCCGACGGCCGGCGGTGGGAGACGAAACAGCATCTGGAAACCGATCCGTTTCATTTCTGTTCCGGTTATCGATTCCGCCATTGTCATCTTCTTCAAACTCCGATAGAATTCCGTGAACTGTCATGATTCTGGGGATCCGAGGGCGATCGCTTACACAAGAATAATCATCGAGATTGAGCAGATTGAAAGACGATCTAGACAACATTATACGGGGAAATCAGAGATACCAAGATGAAAAATTGAGAGCAGATAAACGGATGATTTCGTTATAAGTGGGTATTACAAAGTTGGGAGTGGATTGATTGAAGATAAATGGGGAAAATGGAAGTGAATCTCATCAGAAATTTCGATGATTTGGGGATGGAGAAGAAGAAGGTGGTAGAGAGGATAAGAACGAAGAAGTAGAGAGACCGACTTTAGTTGGCTAAATCAATTAAAACCTATAAATAGAAATAATAATATTATTGTTAAGTGTGAAAACCTTTCATGTTGTATACAGTTGCGTTATTAAATAATTGTTCATAATGTTTACTTTTTTTATAAAATTATAAATGAGAATTTTTTAGTTTATCTGACAAAATATATATTTTAATGATTTGTATAATCGATGTAAAGATTTTGTGTCATAAATTAATTTTAATAGAAAAAATTTACCTTATAAAATATATTAAAAACGAATCGTTTCTATTTTGTTTTCGAAAATTTAGATGAATCGCATATAGTTTTTTTTTTCTTTTTTCTTTTTTTCAATTTGTAGGTGATTTTGTTTGTAAGAAGGTTTTATTTAGCATATCGTATATTATTGGTAGCAAGTTTTTTTACAAAAACTAAAGAGTTCAATTTGTATTAGAATCGGAACTTTTATACAATAGTTATGAGATTAGAAATTTTTTTAATCAAATAGTTTTATGCCGATATTTGTAATTGCTGAGGGTCTTTATCGAAAGATAATTTCAATCGTCACGTTAAAAGTTAAAACAAAGTGTTTTTCTTTGTTCTACATACCAATTATTTTGGACACAAATTTTGTAACCATGCATGCATATTCATAAAGATAATACTTATTTAGAAGTTCAAACAATTTCCATATCCTGTCCACAATAAACCTCATTTACATATATGGGTGAAGGATCATAGTGGCACCTCCCATAAATAACACAATTTTAGCATTTTCTTTTATATATAAAAAACGACTTGTTTGTGTTTGTAATATATTTAGGGCACATATAATTCGATTTCATAGAAAATAAATGTTATTTATATCATATCGATTCTTTAGGGATTTGGATCATAGATAGAAACTACATGTCATCACCAGTGGCGGACGCAGACTGTTTTAGTAGGGGTGTCCCTCGTACTTCAAGCGAGTGCGCCTAAAAAAAAAAAATTACACTGCGTGCCGGAAATTGAGCAGTAGCCCGGGACCCCAAATGCCCCACTAAGGTCCGTCACTGCTCATCATACAACTATATTCCTAAAAAAACAGGATTGTATTTTCCACGCTTCTTTGTAGTTTACATAACATGGTTCTTAGGGAGAGGGAGTCATTTCCTCTTAACTCATTTCCACAACAGCTTTTATTCTCTTTATTATTCATCTTTCTCAACCAATAACATATTAAAATTCTATATTTTTCAACCACTCAATTAAAAAAAATACAAAGCAACTAAGGTACAAATCTTAAAACACATGGTAAAAGAGAAAAATGAGAGAGAGAAAGTAGAGAAAGAGGGTGAAGCGGATTAGTGAAACCAATTAAACAACCTACCACTTTCAACCCTCATAACCAACTGAAAATGGAGTAATATCTTGGAGGTACAGCGGTAGCTCTATTTGCTAATTAAAACTTGTACCTTAGTTTTTTAATTGAGTCGGTTAAAAAAGATAGGGTTTTCGTATGTTATGTGTTAGGAAAGATGAAGAAAAAAAATTTTATATAGTAGTGGGTTGGAGTGGGTTGGGAGGGAATGACTCCCTCCTTCCTTAAACACAAAAGTGCCACATAGAAAGATTTATTTTCAGTTTATGATTAAATATAAGTTTCGTTTTTTTTATTATGGGACCGAATCATATATGTACATTTTCAATTTTTAACTTAAAAAGTCATAAACCTACGATGTAATTCAAATCCAATATCAGTGGGGTAATTACATGTATTTGTTGTATATTCAAATATAGAGAAATATACACAAGTATCCCAAGAGATTCAATCTATAAGACTGACACAGATGTTAGGATCGATACACTAGAAAATCTATCAACTTTCTACTCCATACTTTTTTGAAAAATATCAACAAAGGTCATTTATTGAGACATTATTTATCTATGTGAAGAAATGTATGGATAGGAATATTCAAATGTAGATGAATGTGCAAAATGTTTTAATTAACAAAGATCTTCGACCGTATTAATTATTAACCTAGTTCCTGCATTAACTTCATTCTGGATTTTCGTACACATCGGGGATGTTGTCGTTGGTTGGCAACATCTATTCTCATCGTCGGACTTGTTATTATCACCATGTGTCCGGTCTGACAGCGAGGCTTTCTTAGGTGAGGATTCCAATCTGATTTCTCCTTCTTCATCGTCATTATTGTCTTCCATCATCCAAGTTTCCGAAACACCAGCTTCATAATCCTCCTCCCCAACATCATTCACGTCCTCATCTGATTCCTTTTCGGCTTTATCGAACGGAGCCGAATGAAATGAAGACCAATCATCGGTATATTCGACCAACCCCACTTTGTACATCTTACCATCCGCCATGATCGTGACTTCTTCATCATGACTTCTTCATTAATCAATTTATTTTGTGAATCTCTTTGGATGATTTTCATATGGAAAATTGGAAGTGTAATAAGTTTGTGCATCAGATGTTTCAAGTAGGTTTTGCTATGCAGTACATATAACCTTTAAAATGTTATGCTAGGATCTAGTTTTATACTACTAGAAAATTGGGTAATTGTTGCGAATTTTTTTATAGGAAAATACTTATGGAATAGCGACAAATTGTCTATCAAAAAAGTTGTCGTAATTTAATGATGGATTTATAACAGAATAACTATATAAAATAATTTTGTAGTTATTCCGTAGGTAATTTGCTACAAAAAAAAACTGGATTATTTCAAATTCTTAAGTATTTTGTATGTAATTTGCTACAAAATACATACTAAAAAGGAAAAAGATGAGATTTATTTAAATTATTTAGGTAATATGTAATAAACGTTTTTATTTCACACATTTTTATTCTCTAAATTATTATTAATACTAGGTGTGAGACATGTATATTATACGGATTGATTAAAACAAAAATTAAATATGAAAGGTACACTTATTTGATTAAAACAAACAAAAGTTAAATATGGAAATGTAAATATTAAACACTTTTTAAATTTAAATTTATAAATAAATAAATTTACGATGAATCGTCATTTTAGGTTTTCAAGCTTCAAATTCAAAATTATAATACCTAATAAATAGAAAACCTTAAATTTTACTTTGTAATATCTAAACTTTACTAAATTAATTCTTAAAAAAAATATTACTTTTTCATTATAGTTAGATTAGAGTATTTATTATTATTTTATAGATTCCAACATGATATGGATTCTACCGACCCTAAAGAGTAAAGACAAACGAAAACAAAGAAAATTACTTATGGATAATATAAAATTAAATGTTATGTCTACCATGTCAATTGTTAATTCTTTAGCTACATGTTAAATTAATTTTATTCTTGTAAATTTTCGATTAAAAAAATATTGTTTTATATTGTATCAATTTTTCATGTCATGTTACCGATATATTTTATTATTCATTATTGTTACTTTTTTACAACAGGTGTAAGTTATAGGCAACAAAATTTAAGATATTCAGACAATTTTATATATGTTCTCGGTGACAGAGAAAATGTCAATCCAAATATATCATGTGGATTTGAGCATTCAAGTTTTCAATCTATTTATAATGTTAATATTATAAGTCCATTATCTAACGATGATAAAGAAAAAAAATAGAAAAAGTTATTTGCATAATAGAAGATCTAATGATATATCCACCACGTCAAACGGTATTTCTGTTTCTATCATGCCATTTATTTGAACTTAGATCCCTAATTTTATGTTACACATTTATGTTCAGTTTATTGCTTGATTTATTATGTGTATTTTTTGCAAAATAACTAATACATATAGATGTTAAATATTACTATTTCGTACTTACTATTGTAAATGATATCACTACGCTTATTTATTCATTTTGAGACAACAAATGTTTATTTATGGGTAGTTATACGTTGCATTGTCAATAATTAAAAATAAAGACGAATTAAAAATATTAATTTTAGACAATGAATGTAACCTTAGTCATAAGACATCTAATATTGTATTCAAAGAAGTATTTGGAAATTTGTGATTTATAACACATATTTAGAATATGTCATTACTAATTTTAGTACTTTGAGTTTAGTTACGTACTTATTCAATAAAGTCTTTGTATATATGTAAAAGTATTACTTTAATAATTGTTTAATGTTTACAAGTTGAAATTAAGTTTTTTTAATAAATCTGTGTAATACACGAGTTTCACACTTAGTATTAACAATAAATTGTTACTTCAATTCCAAAACATAAAAATATAGGAAGTCAAGAAATATGATTCAATTCCAAAACATAAAAATACAGGAATTTAAGAAATATGATATAGTTCAGAATGTACAATTTTTTTTGCTAAACATAAACGATTCTTGAAATTTAAAAATATATTTTCAATTTGAAATTTGCTTGAAAGTTTAATACAAGGCTATAACAATTTAACTTAAACCCTAGACCCAAAATTTTGCAAAATGAAATCCGGAACATGTTTATAGTAAAATGAATGAGTTTTTTTTTTCCTTTCAAAAGGTAACTTGTGATCGTCAAAGTTTATTAAATGAACAATATAAAAAGAATGGCAAAATTCGAACTATAATAATATAATAGTATAATATTAATATACTATCTACCCATTTAAGATATGTAAAATAAGCTCAAACCTATCTTAATTTTAAGAGTTAGAAACAGGAAAGAGATATCTATTCTTTTGCATCATTTAGTGTCACATTTAATTAATCTAATATAATAAATACATTACTAATATGTGGCATTTGAATTGATGAAAATTAAGAAAACCAAAAATTGACATATAGATTTATTTTAATTCAAAATTCTCATTAAATGACATGTGGCAAATGTATAGAAAACATAACATATGACAAAATCATTTTCATTTATTAAGTTAGATTTTTTATATTATTTCTATGTATATGTATTTATAACTATAATTTATTTTTATTGTTGTATTTATCATTATTATTTTACTCATAATTATTATATCTATTTCCAAATTTTTAATTATAATTATAATTATTATTATTATTATTATTATTATTATTATTATTATCAAGGTTGTAGAACTCGTTACTCGGTACCTGTTCGGCCGACTACCGAATAGCGAGTACTCAAAAGTACTCGGGAGTATTCGGATTCGGTAATTCATGTAGAAATATTTTTAGGTAAATTATATATGTCCAAATCATAAGTTAAAATCATAAGTTGATTGAAATATATAACAAAATTAGATACATGTGAATAGACAAAAACTGAAAAACACATAATGGTCTCACTTCATAAATAATTACTGAAAATTTAAGATATATATATATATATATATATATATATATATATATATATATATATATATTCTCATTAAATGACATGTGGCAAATATATAGAAAACATGACATATGAAAAAAATCATTTTCATTTATTAGGTTAGATTTTTTATATTATTTCTATGTATATGTATTTATAACTATAATTTATTTTTATTGTTGTATTTATCATTATTATTTTACTCATAATTATTATATCTATTTCCAAATTTATAATTATAATTATTATTATAATTATTATTATTATTATTATTATTATCATTAAGGTTGAAGAACTCGTTACTCGGTACCTGTTCGGCCGACTACCAAATAGCGAGTACTCGAAAGTACTCGGGAGTACTCGAATTCGGTAATTCATGTAGAAATATTTTTAGGTAAATTATATATGTTCAAATCATAAGTTAAAATCATAAGTTAATTGAAATATATAACAAAATTAGATACACATGAATAGACAAAAACTGAAAAACACATAATGGTCTCACTTCATGAATAATTACTGAAAATTTAAGATTATATATATATATATATATATATATATATATATATATATATAGTAATAATCACATGTGTGTGTTAAATAATAAATCATTAAGTATATTATACCTACTAATCACCAAGTTGACCGAGTTTTACAACACTGCTCAGTTCGGTAAGGGGCCGATCGGGGAGTACTCGGGATTCTGTAACTCGCATCGGTAAGGGCCGAGTAGCGAGTACTCGGAGGAGTAATCGGCCAACTCGGCGAGTTTTACAACACTGATTATTGTTGTTGTTGTTGTTGTTGTTGTTATTGTTATTATTATTATTATTATATATATATATATATATATATATATATATATATATATATATATATATATATATATATATATTATAAAGACATGCCACTTAGGAACAGTAGACTTTGTAGCCTTCAGAATTTAGCTACAAGATTTTTGGAGATTGTTTCTTTTTGTCCCTGCCTGCTTTGGATAATCATATTTGCTCCCTCTACTGACAATATAACCCAATCACATTACCGTGTTTATACTACAATGAGTGTCTTCCATAAAATTGGACTCCGATCTCTATCCTTGTCACGTATCAATTCCCCAATGACTCCCAAAACCTCTATCGGGACGGATGTTTTCAAAAGTATGATCATAAGATTCCCAACACCATTATTGCAATCTGCTTTTGAAAAATAATATCACCCTTCTTCCATCACCACCGTTGTTCAACATCATCGGGAAACCACTACCACCACTTAGTCTCTGACCCTTCCCAATCATCCTAATCGGGGTCGGAGCCTTCGAACATGGAACCTAGGCTAGAGGTTGAGGATTCGAAAGGGGGTTTTAGCTCTACAACAAGCAATTGAATCATCGCCGACTTATTTTCCTCGATTTCGATTAATATTGTCGACTTATCGATTATCGATTGGCGCAAGCTAAAAGTGAATCGAAATTGGCTTTTTTTTCTTAACTTCTTCAATTGTCTCTTCATACGTCTTTTTCTAAGGATTGTGTTATTTCTTCCGATCTTTTCTTCCATCTTTTTTTCTATCTTGAAAATTTTCTCTGTATCTCCTCTGTTGGATTGCCTTTTAAGGTTTGTTGTTTCTATGAACAGTAACCACTCCGCTGTATTCTCCCATATTCTTTACTTCTACAAACGAAGCGATGGGACAGGAGACTTCTACCAACTTTAATTGTAAGCATCGACTTATCATCTTATCATCTGCTCTGTGATTCTATCTATCCAAAGTCGAAGAGGTACGCTTTCAATTTTATATGTTTTCCAATTGTTTCAACTTTTGATGGCGTTTTCAACTATCATTAGTATCGACTTTGTTTTAGGTTGGACAAAAAGTGATATGGGCACCACTGGAGGAGACGACTAACAACTGCATCCTCTCCGTGTTTTTTTTATTATCGCTTTAACCTAAGAATATACCTACGGTTTTGTATGAGCAAAAGGAGACGAACCATTGATTTAGGTAAAATTCACTACGATGATTACAGGGTTTAGGTATTTATAGAGAGATTCTGTGACAACCCGTTATTTTCAGTCT